AACTCTTTCGCAGTTTTCAGACTCTCCAAACAGATTTGTTTGTTTTCCCGCTGAATGTCAGAATCTGTGTCCCATTAGAGCTGCAGTTCTTCTTTTTCCTGCCGTCAGAAACAAAAAGCAGTTTGGAAATCACGTGTTTGATAAATCCCTCTCCTCTGTAGAAGGTCCAACATGCTGATGTAGCAGGAAAACATGTTGATCTGTGTTTTATGAGCCCCTCTTCAGTCGAAAGTGGGTGAAGTCGCTGAAGGGTGGAAAGTCTGGGACGGTTCTGGCAGAGCAGCAGTGAGAACGGATGACGCCTTGCAGGAATGTTGCTGCTTGTCTCATCTTGTCTGGAAAAGAAACTTTCTAAAAAAATAAGCTGGAAAAGCCAGAGGAACCGATTATCAACTTAAAGTTTCTCAGAAATCAATGTGGAAACTTAATCCTGTATGAACAGATAAATCTGGTTATGAATCATTTTTCTCTAAACATTACCAAATTCAGAGCAGTTGGTTCAGACTGAGGTTGGATTTGGTGAGCCGGTTGTTTTCAGTTCAAAGCCGTAAAGTGACATGCACCAAAGCTTCAGACTCTTTGTAACCAGCAGCCCATAAAAAACAGTTTATTTTCACTTCTTCAGTCTGTTAAAGATTTACACTCCAAAAATTGTTAGCTAAAAACATGACAGTTTTGTTTTGTTTGTTCTACTTTTCCTTGAAGTCACAACATCTGCTGCTCAGCTTTTTAAAGGGGAAGTATGCTTTTCCAGCCATCAAGTACCATTTTATTGTCAACTGTTACTTTTATCTGTTAAAGAAATGCTTCATAAATCAAATATTACTTAAAAGAAATTTGACTTTGTAATTTAACGTCCTGAAATTGGGCCTCTGTCTCTTTAAGAAGCTCCTGCTCTTTCTGAAACGCCACCTTAGGAAGACATGTTTCTACATGCCTTTCACTGAGAGGTAGCTCCCATAACGAGCTCAGCAGGTATTTGCTAATTGCTCCCGGCTAGTCTGAAGGAGCCAAGTGGGGGAGGAGCTGCACCTCGAAGGCGGAGCTCCGTCCAACCAGGCATTTTGGAGATGAAAGGATTTCTCAAACGTGTGTAAAAGAATCAATGCAACACTCCTGGTGTTGTTTTGATGAGAGAATATAAAAGTCGATTTCACAAAAATACTTATTGAAACCAACATTCAGCAGTCAGAGAAAGTCGCTCTCTGCTCAGAACCAAACGGTTCTGAGCAAACGGTTCTGAGAACTACAGAGTCCCATTTTCTTTACATTTCCTGCTTTCTCTCCCCACATGGTGAAGCAGATAAAGTTCATTTGGACTCGATGCTCATCAGGAGCAAAGATATTCCTGAGATTCGGCCTGTCAGAGTTTGAGGAGGCGTTAAAGCAGAACGCCGAGCTGCCACAGCAGAGGAGCTACACAATAAAACTGTTTGTCATGTTATCATTTCTTCCTTTTCATAGCCCTAAAAACGCAAATAGCTTTCGTTTGTTTTGTTCTTCTTCCACTCCCACGACGGGTTTTCAGCCACTTAGCTTCCTGACAGCCTTTTGTCATCCTCTCCTTTGTGGTTGCTTGTGTGATTGACACACTTTCAGTCCCAGACTCCTGCTCATCGCTGTTGCAGGGCATCAAATGTTCTGCATTCCAAGAACCCGGATAATGAGCATAAACATTTGGCTGTTTTAATGTTTATTGCTATTTAACAATTAAGGTTCATATTTATCCCATGATGATTTCTGAAATATTGAACCTGGTTCTGGAACTGGATTTATCTTTAAGAGGTTCTTAATCTACAATGTTCTTTAATAGCTAGTTTGTTACGCAGATTTTTACATAGAGACGATTTTTAATATATTAGAAAGAAAATACTGAATGCTAGTTGAAATGCTATTGGCTAACATGTTGAAACCAGTCAATCTTTCCTGATTCTGATTGGCTGTTAGCTTCTGTTTTGGTTTCCACTGCTGTATTAATGCATCTTAGGGCATATATTATGTTAAAACATGCAGTCAAACATTTTTAGAGCAGTTTTTATGGATTTACCTGTTAACGGTTCACTTCATTTACAGTGAGAGCATAATGTTTGTTTTCAAAACGGCTTTGTTACATTTTGAATTTTAAAAAGTAATTATGAAATTTTGTTATTTGTGTAATAGATGTTAAACATTTCTTTATTATCATGCTGCTTTCTGTTTATGAAGCTTTTAAACAAGTTGAGAAAACATGAAAATCATTTCTGCTTTCATCATTTGTACCCATTTGTGCCACTGATTGCTTCCCACGCTGCGTCTCTGACATGGAGACGTTCATTCCCTGCAGACCGGCGTCAAACATCTTACATGACAGCTTGCCTCATTATTTATTGCCAGTTCCCTCTAAAGAGCTGCAGTTAGAGCTTCAAGGTGCAAAGCGGGTGTGAGGATCCTCCTCACCGTCACTCCTGCAGATTAAAACGGCCTCTAAGGAGCTCATGATGCGCCAGCGACCCGCTTGGTTTGCTCTGTGAAGCCACTTGACTGTTTGCCTCATGGATTGGAAAATGTTAGTTTCTGACTCATTTATTTGTGCCTCCTCCATGTTTTGCTGTCAGGTTTGCAGTCATCGCCTCAGGCTGCGCCAGCTGTCCCAGGCTGGTGTGTCGGAGAGAGGGATGCGGCGCGGAGTTCTGCTACCACTGCAAACAGGCGTGGCACCCGAACCAGACCTGCGACTCGGCCCGGCAGCAGCGGGCCCAATCCCTGCACACCCACAGCGGACACTCGCCCAGCTACACCCAGGACCAGGGGCCTGGTGAGTCCCCTAAACCCAGACTGTCTCCTCCTCCCAGCCTCACCGTCACTGGACCAAACCAGGGTCCAGTTGATTTCTGGTTTATTAGATTAAAATTAGTTCCAGTTGATTAATTCGTCCACTTAGACTTTCTTAGTGTTGTAGTTTGGCCTCCAGCCATCTGAGGGCGCCACTGGTTGATACAAAAACAAAGATGGCAGAGCGATACCAGTGTGAGGAGTGACAGTCCAAACACAGCATTGATTGTTTAATGCTGCATTTAACTAATTATGATTAGTTAAACAATCATAATAATAATAGTAAAATTCAGAACTTATTAGATGAATCTTGGAAACTTTGTAGAAAAAAACTGTGTTATTTTTGAGTTTTAAGTCAAAAATTTACAATTCTTAATGTCAGAAAATTTCTAAGATACAAATTTTCCTTAGAAATTTCAAAGATTAATCTTAAAATTTCTATTTTCTGTCAAATTTCTGACATTAGTCTCAGATTTTTTTAGCTTTTTGGTAGAAATCTGCTCTTTCTTTTTCTATCTGCAGTGGTCCTAAAACCCCTAGTCGCTGTATTTTGTGATGCAGTTTATGCCATTTTCTTTTGAAATATAAACACCCAGAAAGCTCTTCTCGTCTGTGAGAACACGGGGAATTAAGTGTTTCTAGTATTTTATTTTTTTCTTCAGCATTCTAAGAGGTTACAAAGTTTTATGATGTGAGACAACCACAGTTTTTAATAAAGCTGATTAAAGACAGTCATCGGCCGATTAACTAAACTCTGTCTGCTTCTGATGCAGCAGATTATGCAGACTGTGCAGAGTCTTTAGCAGCACCATTTCCTGTTTGAAACCATCACTTTCACACCTTTCTGAGACTCTGACTTTGTCAACTTTATCACACGTCCATCTGCTCAGTCTGCCAGCTTCAAAGCTGTGAGGCGTCTGCTGCAGAAGCTGCGCTGCGTTCCCACCGCTGGAGGAAGTGTGAAGCGTTTAAATCAGTCATCTGTTTCTATTCTTAGCTCTGCAGCGTCCTGCATCCTGTCAAACCTTAAATGTCATCAAAGCTGCAGGTCAGACGCAGGATCATGTTTGGAGCGGCTGCACAGCGGATGCTTTCAGCACAGCAGCTTTAGTTTGTTTCAGCTACAGGCGTGAAAGCTTCACGCGTTTCTCACCCACAAAAACTGAGCTTTATGCTTTATGAGCTTCAGTTTTTGTGGGTGTGTCTTTTGTAGCTTGAAGGTTTCAGATGATCAAACTAATTTCAGCTTTCAAATAATCATTTTATTAATTAACTTACAAAAAGCTTTCAAATCTGGTTGAGTTTGTGGTAATTAACCTGTGAAATCATAAAATGTCGGACAGCATGAAGCTGGTTTAAAGATCTCAAAGCAACAAATCATCAGCAATCAGTCAGGAGAGGGTTAAAGGTCATCTCTGAGTGTTTGGGCCTCCAGAAAAACATTTCTACACTGGAAACAGAGGAGAAGATTCCCTGGAAGACATTCAGTGGACTGACGAAGCCAGTTTCATTCCTAGTAAAACACGGTGGTGGCAGTATGATGGTCTGGGCTGCTTTTGAAGGAGAACGACCAGGGATCATTCTCTCTTTCAGAGTGGCTAAAGACAAAAGGGTTTTGATTGGCCTAGTCAAAGTCTGGACCTTAAACAGACCTTTTATGATAGAAAATTTGGATTTTAAAAGTTCTGCGAAGCAAAGTGAGATATAGTTCCTTCCTAGTGATGAAAAAGATTCATAGTGATAAATTAATTTAGTTACTGTTTGAACTAAAACATCCAGGGGAAAAAAAAATCAGAAATAGAATAAAACTGCAACAACTGCACTGAAAAAACACAAAATCTACCAAGTAAGTATCGTAAGATTTTGACTAATATCTTAGTAAAGCTGTAAGTTAGACCAAACTAACTTACAGGTCACTTTTAAATCAGATTTAGAGTCAGTATTTGTATTCTGCTGAAAGATTATTTCACTGAAATCATGGAAAAATATAAATGAAATTATCTGCTAGTAGAACTAATACTTTTAAAATCAATATTAATTAATTATTGACTTCAAACAAGCTCCTGTTTCTGCTAAAAACTTGCATGTAAATTAGTTTTGTCTTATTTCAAGTGCACTAAGATATTTGCAGTAGAAACTGAAACTCTGGGTCAGATTTTGTGTTTTTGCAGTGCATATTTTCTCCTTAAAGACACAAAACTGAAAACTATTTCTGGTCGGTTGTGAGAAGAAAGTCTCAAATTTATTTGAACTTCCTGTTTTGTAGACATCAAGAACATCTGCTTGCAATTAACATAAAACTGGTCGCTGCGCCAGACGTCATGAAGCATCACTTCTGTTTCCTCTCATGCAACTGGACAGAAACGGAAAAACCAGCAGAAACAAACGGAAAAATGTAGAAATGTTTTTTATTGTGATGCAATCAGAAACATACCGCAGGTAGAACGCCGCAGGATGAATCCAGATCTACATGGATTCATTTAATCCTGTTTTGATTAAAAACGCATCCAGTAAATCCCTCCAGCTGCCAGTTTCTATCTTCTAATCTTCAGTCCTGCGTCAAAAAAACCTGATGCTGGTTTTATTGAGGCATTTTTTCTTGAATCAACAAACTTGTCTTATTTCTGATGTTCAAACCTCCAAATATCCTCCGGTGTAATCATCGCCCCGATGGAGAGTTTCTCAGCTTGCAGGTCCTTCCTATGGCGGCTTAAGAGTTTTATTTGTTTCTCAATAACCGGCCATTTCCTGGCAACAGATTTAAAATAAAACATGATCAGTTTCTATAAATGAAGCCCTGCTTCAGTTTTGGTTTCTTTAAAAGACGTTCAGAAGGTTTCATGAAGTACAGAGTTATATATAAAAAGGGAAGTATCAGAAAAAAGTCCTTTCAGATAACTTGGTGGAAGAAAAAACTCCTGTCTCTTTCAGTTTTCTTCCTTAGCCTCAAAGTGTTCTGAATCCTCTGGGAAACTGAAAGAGATCCACAAACGCTTCATTAAGTATTTTAAAAAAGTAAGAGTAAGAAAAACGTGCTTTCAGATAATTTAGTGGAAGAAAAATCTCCCATCTCAGCATAAACTCCTGAAAGCAGCAGTTTAATTAATTAGAGGAGCTGTCCCAGCTCCAATATTTCCTCTGGTCAGACGTTTCCTGCAGCGGAAGCGTCTGACCTCGTCTCCTTCTGTCTCCAGCTGATGACATCAAGCCCTGCCCTCGCTGCGGCGCTTACATCATCAAGATGAACGACGGCAGCTGCAACCACATGACCTGCGCTGTGTGCGGCTGCGAGTTCTGCTGGCTCTGCATGAAGGAGATCTCGGACCTGCACTACCTCAGGTAGGCCCCGCCCCGTCTGCAGCGCCGCACGGCGGCGTCCTGCCGATGCGTGAACTCACGTCGCTCCTCTGCTTCCCGCCGCAGTCCGTCCGGCTGCACCTTCTGGGGGAAGAAACCCTGGAGCAGGAAGAAGAAGATCCTGTGGCAGCTGGGAACGCTGATCGGAGCGCCGGTCGGGATCACGCTGATCGCCGGCATCGCCGTTCCCGCCATGGTCATCGGAATCCCGGTTTATGTCGGCCGAAAGGTGAGGCGCCGCGGAGAGCGCAGATCTGACTGAAAACACCAAATGAACACAATTAAAGCTGCTTTGTGGTTCTGATCTTCACTACAAACATTTGAATTTATTTACTAGTATTTTATGTTTTAAATTATTCAAAAACGTTTTTCATTTGTTTAATGTTTATTTTAATGATGTTGGTTTGCTGAGCAAAACCTTTCTATATTTATTTTTTGTAAATTGATATTTAATTTCCATATTTAGTGATGAAAGCAGGTGATGGTGAATTGAAAAGAAAAGCTGAGTAACAGACATTTAATCGGTTTTAATTTTCTGTACAACCATGAAAGTAACTGATAATTTTTTATTTTTTGGCTAAAATATTTCCTTGAATCTACCGACCTGCCATAACTCTTATTTGTAAAGTCAAATGAAGATTTGGAAACTTGCGTTTCCATCTCTGTGCCTTTTCACGCTGCATGCGGTAATTTAACAACAGGAAGTGGAGGGAAGGTGACGGGACTTTTTCAGGGGAAATGATCGAAGCATCAGCTGTGTGTTCAGCGCCTTCATTTGCGCAACGTTATCTAATGCAAACAGCTTTATCACACGTCAGTTCCAGCGAACATGAGGCTGCATCTTTCCCAACAGCAGAGATCATTCATTCATTCATTCATTCATCGGTTTGTTCTGTTGTTCATTCAGGTTTATGGTCAGATCTCTCGCCTCCAGGCAGCTCAGGAAACAGAAACCACAGACACACAGTTGGTCTGTCACAATCCCCCGGTGACTCTCTGGAACTCACAGCGTTGCTCAAGGCTGCTGCTGAAGTTTCAGTCTGACCTCAGAAATGACCAAACTGACCTCAAGCTTCACCTGAACCAGGCGAATCCAGCTAAATTTAACAAGCTGCTTCTGAATGAGGAACAGTGCAGGCTGTAATTGCTCATTTGACACATCTGCTGTTATTTCTGGGGTTTCTTGTGTTTGTTTATAAATATTAAATGAGATGCGATCATTTCCAGTCATAGACAAAACGGCGTTTACTGGAAAACATGAGGGTTGTGTCAGTGTTGCCATTATTTCTCTTTACCTCCATCTTGTGGCTGAAGGTGGAACTGCTCATTCATTCCTTCCCCATTTTTATGTTTTCATGAGTTTAGATGGTAATTTATCCAAACTCTGCATTTATTATTGACATAAAACTTATTTTAGCTCTTCTGATGATGCTGTCTTGTTTTAAAGTGAAATTTATTAACTTTAATCCTAAAGTTTACATTAAAGTCTGGGTTTTTCCACTTTGTTTTCTGATACATCAGAAGTTGTGATGTTTGTGTGAGATGTTGTTGTTGTTTTTGCAGATCCACGCTCACTACGAGTTGAAGAAGGCGTCTCGCCACAGGAGGAACCTGGCCATCACGGGGGGCGTGGCCCTGTCGGTCATCACCGCCCCTGTCATCGCGGCCGTCAGCGTCGGTAAGAAACTCCGGCGAATCTCTGCTGCTGCCTGAACTCAGAGACGAAGCAGATCTCCTGAAAACCTTGACCTGCCTCCAGGCATCGGCGTTCCCATCATGTTGGCCTACGTATACGGCGTCGTTCCCATCTCGCTCTGCAGAGGAGGCGGCTGCGGCGTCAGCAGAGGGAAGGGCCGCGGCGTGCGAATCGACTTTGATGAGGACGACGGACCAATCACAGGTGAGCTTCAATCAAACCTCAGGCTGCGTTCACAGCGTCCTCGTTTAGTCCACTATGATCCAACTCCAGTCCGTTTGCGTAGAAAGTCCGGTTCATTGAGGGAGGTGTGAATGATGTCCCCCTTCAAACGTAGGTCTGTTAGTTGAACTGAACTCTTGGCATTCTGGGTAAATAAAAACCTCACCAAACTCGTGAGTTTAGCACTAGCAGGAGATCAACCGCTAAAATTTGACACAACTCAGTTTTTGTTTCCATTTGGTGAAGAAGAAACTTTTCTTCTTCAGAGGTTTTTGTGTCGTTTCCTTCAGTGGTTCTCGGTGCAGCGCCCTCACAGGCCAGGAGGGGAACAAGCTTTTCAAAGGGTTTGGTTAGTTTGACACCAACCAAACCATCTCAATGTGAAAGCAAAACAGAAACAATTGTAGCTATTTCAGTATTCCCTGAATCTACTGACTATCAGATGTGAAAACAGCCAAATAGATTTATCTTCTGGATCTGACTGGGTTTATTTTCTCCGTCTGACTGTGCAGTGGCGGACGCGTGGCGAGCCCTGAAGTCTCCGAGTCTCGGAGAGAGCAGCCTGGACGGAGCGGTCAGCGGTCTGAGCACCACATCCCCCAGTGAGGGCCTCTCTGTGGCCCCTGGGAATCTGGGAGACACTCCGCACTTCAACATGCTCGCCGGCGGCGCTTTGGGGACCCGAACCAGCAAGTACAGCAGGTGAGGAGTCTGGTGGTTCTTTTTGCTCCGGTTTTATTGATTCTAACCGATCTAACTGATATCCTGACTGGGATGTTTTTGCTCCTGCAGGTTGGAGGTTCAACCAGGGGAACTGGCTAAGGAATCAGCCCAGAGAGAGACGGGAAGTCTGGGAGCAGGAAGCGACTGCGCCAGCACCCGAGGGATGGCCGGATCCATCATTTCCTCTTACACCTTACCCGACAGGTGAGAGGATGAGTGACTGAACGGCAAACTGGTAGCTTTCAAGAAACACAGAGTCAGCTTTTTGGAAACATTTTCACTGGTGTAAAATGAGGCAGTGATGGAACTAAACCCGTCAGTCCTGGAGCAGCAGAGGTACCAAAGAGGTCCAGAAGTTGGTCTCTGTGGTGGTTCAACCTTTTCATTTTAGATTTTCAGTTTATTTTAGAGCAACATAAGCTGCACATATTTCCAGAAACATCCTGGTTTCAGCTGCGTTGACCTCAAAGAGATGAGCAATAAAAGCTCTTTGGCTCATTTGCATGTCTGTTCTCTGGAAAACGAATGTTGCTCAAAGTGCAAACACTGTAAAAGAAACAGGTTTTCACACTGCGGTTCATGTTGCAGGAGGAATTAGGTTGTATTTTATCCTCTTTATTAAAATAATCCCAAGTATTTGAGCTGGTCAAACCTCAACTACAGAGTCTAAACTAACAGTTGTAATGTTTTCAGGAATTGGGGCCATTTTGTATTAAAAAGAGCAACATGTCCTTTAAAACTTGTTTCAGTGTTAGTTAGAACTGAGGGCAGGTGGGCGTCTCGTTCGGCTCGCCGATTCCATGTCTGACGAAGAAGAGCGAGCTGCCAGTTTTGAATATAAAATGAGGCCGACATGAATTTAACATATCTTTGTAACTTCAGATGTTTTGATCCAGAAGCCTCACGCTGACTGACTCGTCTTAAATGTCCTCAGGGACTGCACCAACCTGGAGATCCAGGTGGACATCGAGACCAAACCCAGCCATCTCTGCCTCACCAGTGAGGAGGACCTAGCGCCCCAGCCAAGCTCTGCTGCCATGGCCACCGCCTCAGGAGGGGAGGAGCCTCAGGACTGCAGCTCCAGAAGGGGCGGGGCTTTGGGACTGTCGCCAGGGGCGTCCATCAGGGAGGGGCTCCGAGACGTGACCCTGGCCCAGCCGGAGAGCATCCGCAGCGACCTGGAGATGTCGGACACTCAGTCGGACGACATCGGGGAGCTGACGTCCGACGACTGCGACTCGCCTCACCCTAAAAGCTGCCAGCAGCTGCAGCCTCCCTCCTGCAGGCCCCTGAACCCCCCCACCGACGGCCTTCACTGTCCCGCAGACAGCAACGTCATCCTGTACGTCTGAGAGGCACAGCTCTCAGGATTGCACAAAAACTGACAAAACCCTGAACATTTACCTTCACTCTTTGTTTCCTTTCCTCCTGTCGTCTCTCGTCAGCTGCTTTAAGGTCTGAAACACAGACACAGGTGTTTGTTTCCTCCTGTCTGTCTTATCGATCTACCGGCCAGCCTCCTCTCTGAGTAAATGTCAGGGTCCTACCTCTGAGATTTGTTGTTTACTCCTTGGTGCAAAATGCCTTGGCTTCTTAAGCAAAAAAGAAAATGAAACAAAAAAGTACAAATTTATAAGAAAAAAATGCAAAAATGAAATGTTAGAATGGTGAAAGTTACCAAGCACAGCAGAAAGAATCCGATTGGTGGAGAAACTGATGCGTGTTTGAATGGAGACTTAAAGCTGTTTGCTTTTTTCTGCTTCTGCCACCAACAAATGTTTTTGTTTTTGCATCGTGCATGAGTCTGCATGATTCATTTCTCACTGGGAGGTTTTAAAAAGGTTTAAAAAGGTTTCCCTTCTAGAGTTTAGAGGATGAAGGAAAGGAGGGGAGAAGTAGGGGAAGAAGGAGGAGGGAAGGAATGGAGGAAGGGAAGAAGAACAGGTTCGCACGCGCTGCAGAAACAAAGAAATGAGAGATCTGACGATGACGGACCAAAACAACCCAGAGGAAAGAAACAAGATGATTTTTGTAGAAACTACAAAAAAAGCCAAAAATATTTTTGCTAATTTTATTGTTGCTTAATTGTTTGAAATTTTTTCTAGCAAAACTATGTAATAGTTTTATTTAATTAAAAAGTATACTTGTATAAATATAGAAAATATTCTAGAATGACATAAATTTTTACGTTTAGTGTCTGACAATCACAGATTCTCTATTCAGCCTGGACAAAGGAAACTATTGATTGCTCTCCTGGATAAAGATATCGATATCAGTTATCGGTGTCGTATATGATGCTGTTTGTGTCGTTAAACTTACTGAAGACTCGTTAAACATGTTACTGCTCAACAAATATTGGTCATTAATGAAACAGAAATATCAGTATTGATTATTGATTATTGCTATCATATATCATGCCGTTTTGTATCCTTAAATTTAAACTTAATGAAGACTTGCAAAACCAAAACACCCTTTCAAATATTTGAACACAAGCAACAATAAATTTATTTTAATATATTATTAGTGAGCATATTATTGATTATTGCTGAATCAGGTATTACAATATGAATATTGGTTATCAGTAATCGTATATTGTGCCAATTTGGGAGGTGCCCTTTGATTGAAACTTCCTGAAGACTCTAAACCAAAAACAATCCCCTTTTAGAAAGAAATATTTACCTAAAACAAACAATAAACTTATTTCAACATGTTATTGATGAGCCTTACAATCGGTAATTCCTGAAACAGGTATTGTAATATTGGTATTGTTATCACTATCGTATATTGTATCATTTCATGTCTTTTGACTTATCCTCAATGTAGACTCGCTAAACCAAAAAAATTATTTTGGGACAGACATATTTATTTAAACTACAAATTTATTGAAACATTTTATTATTGAGCAAATTATTGATTATTGCTGAATCAAGTATTGTTATATCAGTGTTGGTTATTTTCCAATTATCTGAGATGTTTAATTTAAACTTTCTGAAGCCAAAAAAACCCTTTAGGGAAGAAATATTAACCTTCAACAAACGATAAACATATTTGAACATGTTATTGAGCAGCTGATTAAAATCATTTGTCATAAATTCTCATTTTTTAGGTCAGGTCGTTCACATAATGCAATAAAAATTATTTTTAGCTACAACCTGAACTGTTGGGCTGCTTTCCACACATTTCGTCCGTCAGAACTCTCCCACACGTTGTTTCTGGTCCGTGTCGTGGTACCAGTCTGGTCGCTCACTAATCAGCACAGCCCAACTGGTTTTGGTGGTTCTTGCCTTGTAAAATCGCACCTGTCTGACCCAGTTTTATGTGCATGAATGACGGAACATGTGATGAATGTATTTGTGTGATCCACTTTGTCATTTTGTTTTTGACTGAGCACTTGTGCACTTTATCTGAATGTCTTATTTATCTTTTTTATTTGCTTGACATCATCTGTTGCTGTAAACATGTTTACTTGAGTGAAAAACAAAAGTCTGTGGTACAACTAAAAAAAGGAGCCTTTCTGTTGGACGGAATGAGATAAACGTTTGCCTCCAAAACTTTTATCACTCAGTATTTTTGACCATAAATTGTGTTTTTTGTGTCTTTTTTTATTTTTATCAACGCTGTGATGCAAGAACTAAACATAATTTATTATTTTTCATTCCTTTCTATAACTTTGTGTTGCTCTGGTCAGCCAGTATCACTTGTGAACACGTCGTTTTGGAGCCAAACCGTGAGCTTCTCTCAGTCACAGCTTGACCCGTTTCTTAGCTTTGGATCACCTCCGTGCTTCTGTTCGAAGAGGTTCCCGGGAACCTTTTTCTTCATCTCAGAGTAGCTTTATGGATTCTGCTGCTTACGTGACTTGGCGGTGCTGTTTCTGTCTACACATGTCACTGGTTTTTTGCCTATCTTTCAGAATAAACGAATGTACCACAGACAGAAAACTGGGACTTTCTGAAATAGTCCGAATGAGTGTTACGTCCCTTTAGGAACACAGGTGGTTCTGTCTTTATTTGAAATGGTTTATAGATAGCAATATTTAAGTGTTATATTAAAGGAACTGTGTTTTTGTTTGTTTTTGTTGCGGTTTAAGCCTTGATCTGATAAGAGGGTGCACATGCAGGACTGTGAGACTGTGGAGCTTTTTGGGGAAAAATTAATAAATAAACACAATTTTATGTTGCACCAAAGTCATGTTTTGTTGTCTGTTATAATAGCCATAAAAAGCAACAATGATTTTGCTGCACAACTTCACATCAGCTGTTTTTACTCTATTGACTTGCAAAACTCTTCCAAACTTCTCAGAGTGTGTGGACATTTATTCATTTGAATTTTTGTGTGTATTTTGTTTTAGACATTGACTCACTGGGATGATAAATAAACTTCATCTCAAAATTTGTAGCAGACACCTGTAGGCTTTCATCCATTTCATCAACCTTGACAAAGTCTACAAAGCATGATACTGCCTCCACCATGCTTCACTGCAGGAGTAGTGTGTTGTCAGTGATGTACCGTATTGACTTCTGGTTTTCTGAGCTTTAATTGCAGTCGAGTCAAAACTTCTTCCTGCAGTTGCTAAAAAGTTTATGCAATTATAACAAAAACAATATGAAAGGAACAATAAAAAAATCTTTACATAAAAATATCCTTCAAACTACTAATTCGTCAAATACAAAAACAAGCAAATGAAATATAATTGGAGAATAAGAAAGAAAAAAAAGATTTTAGATTTTAATGTGTAAAGTACTCTGTATTTTGTTACCGGCTTCTACTCCCCGGATCCTCCAGGAGGCGCTGTTGCATCTCGAGACCGGATATGTAGCCCAGAAGAAAACTATTTTTGCGGCTGGGTCGTGTTTTCATCTGCCGTAAAGTGGAGGAAGGTTAAAGCACCTCGGATAAGAGTCAAACAGGGTAAATTAACAGGTTTGAACGCTTTACTTTGACTTTTTGCTGCATTTAATGAAAACGCGGCCCATCAGAGTTTAGTTATTTGGCATAAAATAGTATTTTTGAGTGGATTTAGGCCCGTTAGCATTAGCATACTGTCATTGAAGAAGAATCTACGGACATATCAGTCAGTGCCTGCAGTTAAATCAACTATTCTCTGTTCTGATTAGATCCACGCTTCGCATTATAAATCCTCATGTTTGAGGACATTTCGTATAAATGTTTTGTTTTGAGTTGACTAGACGTTTCCGAGCTTCTTGTGTGTACATGTATCTGTTAGCCGCTTGGCTAACACGGAAAAATCTTCGCTGCAGCCGAAGGAGTTTTTCTTCCAGTTTCCGGCCATTAGAACAGTTTTTATTCATTTAAAGTCTTTTTATTACGTGTAGGAAATTTCTCTGCATCTTTTGTTTCAGATAAATGTCCTTTTTGTTCACTAAGAGAAACAGTTTTTCCCTGATTGGATGATGTATTAGAATAACGGATTTATTTACCCTATTGGGGATTTTTAGTAATCATCTGGAGGGAGATGCACAGAACAGTCTTTTCATTTATTTGTATTTTCATATGACGAAAGAAAAAAGGACATTTGTTTAACTTTTTTCTTGGACAAGTAGAGTTAGCAATTTGAAGATATAAAATTAATAGAGCTCAGAAAACTGAATGTGTGAAGTGGCTGGAGTGATGTCAAAACAAATATTACTTCAATCAGATGAATATTTTTCTGAATGATGGGGATTCTTATGGTGATCCGTTTACTTTATATAATTCTGAACTTCATCTATGAATGTGTTGAAGTTGAGTTGAATATTTTAAAGTTTTTAAAAATCAAATCTTTCTGTCTGTCTGTCCTGATTCTTTTCTGTATTTCTTTTTTCTGCCTTCCTTCATGTTTTTCTCTGGTCTCTTGTTTTGTGGCTAACTGCTCTTGTTCTAGATTGTTCCACAGACTGAATCATCTTTTATTTAGATGTTTTTTTCGTGTTAGCTGCTTTCCATCCAACCTTTCCTCCATCCTTTGCTCTCTTGTTGGCAGCATCATGCCGATTCTGGACATCCACTCATGGCTCGGCATCAGCATTGACCGCTGGGTTCTGCTGCAGAGCAGCGAGCAGCCATACAAGCGGGCGGCGCGGTGCCACGCCTTCGAGAAGGAATGGGTCGAGTGCGCCGACGGCATCGGCCAGACCCGGGCCAAAAAGGAGTGCCAGGTGGAGTTGGAGGATTTCTACGAGTGCATGTCCCGGCGGAAGACGGTGAGTCCCTCCAGTAGTGAACTCATTACTCATTATAAACATATGAGATGATGAAAGCTTTGGCGTGTATCGGATGTATTGGGACGGAATCAGAAATTTTACTAAATGAGGTCAATAAAACCTCAGGTAAACAATTTATTTTTTTTAAAGCTAGAAATGGCTCCAAATATGTGGAACCTTATAAAAAACATGAAAATGTGTTATTTTAGTAATCAATTATTCAGATAATTAATTGGCTAAAAAAGTGGTACATTCTGCACATTTTTCTTCTTCTCTCTCTCTATACGATATTAAAAGATACAGATAAACAAATCAATAAAATATTTCAAATAAACTTTTAATTACAATAAAATCATTCTCTTAGTGAACTCTTGATTATTTGTAGCAAAGAATGAATCTGGAGCTGTAAACTATTTTTTTCTCCTTGACATTGACCTGGTGATTATTATTTAATTAATGACTTTTCTTCTTTTAAGTAAAAAAATCCCAAGCTGGAACTTTTGTATTCTGTTTCTTGTCCACCATAAGTCAGACGCACAACAGCCACAAACAACAGTTATGGAAAACGTTTGTCTCGGCCCTCTGGTTTTTCATTTCCGCTTCATAACCGATCAGATCAGACGCAGAAAAAGACTATTGTTGTGTTCAAGTCGTGCTGAAAGAAGCTATTCGAGCCTGAAAGAGCATCAGTGCTGAACATCTTGCTAATGTCCACAGTCCACTTTTCTATAGAAGTTCCATAGATGATCAGGAGCTCCTGAAATAGTTAAACATTGAAGTTTGCTCCAATCTGGTGGTTGAAGAACAGAATAAAAACATTATATTTGTTGTTGCCCTCATATGTTTATTTTTTCAATAATATTGCAAAAAAAACGTTTCTTGAATTGAGAAATGTTGCTTATTTTGTCGATGCATAGTTTTCAATTAATTACATAGCCTTCTATTAACTAAATTAAATGTTTTTATGGAGTCCCACCATTGTTTTTATTTTATTTTGTTAAATTATGACTCTGAAATATAAGTGATGTTTATTTGAGGTTCCCTCCATCCTGGTCCTCTGCGTCCTCCGTGTTCGAGGATCATCCTGACATGGAGCCAGTGCGTTTCATCCTGTTATCTTCACCTTTGACCTCGTCTTTTCTTTGTCCCTGCAGCGTCAGAGGATGCACGCCATCCGTGACCAGCGTGACAAACTGATAAAGGAGGGGAAGTACACACCGCCCCCTCACCACACCGGCCAACCCGACCACAATCCATGAAGGATCTGACCTCAGCCCAGTTTCTATCAGATTTCACCGTTTCCTGTTCCGCTGTAAAAATGTGCAAGTAATAAATGTTAATACCTACCGTCCTTGTAATGTCGTCTTTCCTTCTAGTTCCAATCAAACATGAACCAAATGTTATCAGTGGGATCAGATTCAGTTTTTTTCCCTTTTGTCATGATTCAATGTTTTGGATGATCAAACAAGAAAAATTAAATTTACGGTAAGTAGAGCCAATACCCAACAAAAGTTTTCTCAAGGAATTGAAAGATAATTTCAGTTCAGACATTCCAACTGATCTTAGTTATCAAACCGTTTAATAAACCAAGCAGACTGCATCGAGTCAGTAGTTGCGTTTCCATTCACCATATAAGCAAATTTGAATTATGAAAATAAATTTACTTAATGCAAAAGCGCCAATTTCCAAACTTTTATTTTCCACTAAAATATTTGTGTGCCAGGATGTTTTTGTTTGTGTTTTTTGTCGGCTGTTTCAAAATTAATGTATTTTGCAAAACTGAAATGAAAACATGATTTTCGCGTGAGTCATGATCAAGGATTGGATGTTACCGCTATCGGAAACCACAAAGAAGATGACAGGAAGTGGCTGGAGGATGATGGTGGATGTTTTCGCCTGAATGAATTCATTCATATGGGATTTAAATCCATTTTATTTAATGGAAACACAGCAATTGCGAAATTGTGTTTTTCAACATTAGCAGAATATCAACGTTTGTAATGGAAACGCAGATTTCTGTTTGCAGTATTCACTCCACAGGGAGGGGTAGTGACGTTTCATTACATGAGTAAATACCAAATGCAGTTTGTAAACGATCTCTGTATTTATTAAGGAGCCTGGATGTAAGTGAAAATAATGTTCTAGTTGTAAATCATTTATTGGTGGCTTCATTAAAGACATTTGGCCTGATTATGATACATGGTGTAGAAACGAGAAATTATTTAAATCGAATCTGTTCGAAAGCAAGAAGTAGGCCAAAATATCTCAAAAATAAACATGTCTTGCTCTGAACTAAATAAATTCAGTTTAAAACAGATGCATTTAATATGGAGCTCCACAGTAAATCTTGTGAAGTGACAGAAACACCAAACGTTTTTTGTACGAAGGTTTTCTGGCCTCAGATAATCAAGTTCTTGGTTGGACATTTGGAAAAGAAAGGAAGAGCATAGGGGATTTTGTGTGGCCTAGTCAAAGTCATTTCAGATGGTCTGACGCCCTTAAGCACACAATGAAAGGAGAGACACTTTTTCATAGCACTAAATATGCAGTATGGCTTTTTAACAAAACCGCAAATTATTTTTCTAAGTGCAATAAACTTTCTGTTGACATTAATTTCCCTTTAGCTTTTTGTTCCTGTAAATGTTTCACGTTCTAAACAGTCATCAGACGTTTAAATCAGCTGCTCTCATCAATAACACATCCTCAGATTGATTTATCAATCAACCTCTGATGAATTATTAAAGGTCCAGTCTGCGGTTCTGCTGAGCGGTCCGGCTGACCAGCAGATCCTGCAGGAATCTCTCCCTGAGGACGGAACGGATCATTCATATGAAGATGCTGCTTTACATGCAGGCAGAATCCATTTCATCTCGATCAGAACCAGCACAGGTCATCACCTACCACTAGATGGCGCCACAAGCTCAGAGAATGGACTCCAGAGTTCAGCTGAAATAAGTAACAGAGCTGCAGCTTTAATGCCTGTTGAATTCATCAGTTTGGAGGTTTATGATGTGCGATGTCAGTGTTAAATGTTTCACTTTTTATTCTGCATATTCAGTTCACAAAATATCTGCATTAGCATCAATATCAGTACAAGTAAAATTATATTTATTTACATGTTTATGTTTATGCGTCGTCTTTTTTTAATTGTGTAAATAATCTTGTCATTATATCAGTCATTGGCCATAACAGCCACAATAATATTGGATGTGACATTGATCCAAAGTTTTACATAGATGCTTCATTAATATTCATACAAACATTTTTTCTTCAACACCAGGAGCATCGCATCAGGTCACAAAGACCAAACCAGACAGAAATCAGTGGCTCCAAGTAAAAATAGCAGATAATTGTTGATACTCTGCAGATGATTTATAGCATCTCATGATTTCTTGTTCCTTTTATCACATGAATTAAATTGTCTAAATTGAATTTTGTGTCCTCAGTATTTGTTGAAGCTCACAAACTGCAGTTTAAGTGGAATAAATTCACGTCTTCATCTCTGGATTATCAGCTCAATAATTAGCTAAAGTGGAGAGAAACAGGTCTGACGGAGGTTTGACCTTTGAACTTTGCTCGTGTTTGGCTGCACAGATTTCTAGTGGCTATTTGTTCAGGTAGATGAACTGATATTGGTCCAGTTGTGATGGGTTGAACAGCTGCAGTAAAAATAGTTTTGTTGGCTAATTTGTTGTAGCCAGACTGTTGGTGACTCACAGCGTACTGACCTTATAAATATGGAAACTTTAGATAAAATGGACAAAAAATGTAAGAAAATAAAATGTGGAGTAAACATAAATAATACAGAGATCCAATTATTATTTTTTTTTTTTTGCCTTTTTACATATAAAAGGCAGATTGTGGCAGTGCAAGTGATTATTTTTGTAGATGATACTCTCTTGTTCCAAACAGCCGGGTTCTGCTGATCCGATCCGTCTCAGAACCGAGTTGGTTCAAATCTGAGTAGGTCCAAACTTGTTGTTTGTACTGTTGGTTTCAGTTATTTCATTTTTTTTTTTTTTTGTCTTTTCTCAATTCTTTGCTCATTCTTTCAAATATTTACAATTTTCTAGAAAAACTCAAGAAATTTTAGGTTATCTCAGAAATTTTCTGGCAAAACAAGATTTTTATTTATTTATTTTTTGCAATAGAAAATTTGCAAGAAAAAAAATCTAAACATTTCACATAAATTGGACTTTATTTGGGAAAATCTGGGAAATTTTCAAGTTTCAAAAACTCAGAAATTTTCGTTTTTTTTTTCTTGAGAAATTTTGAGATGAATCTAAAAATGTGTAAGTTTTTTGGTCCTTATTGTTTGGGTGCAGAATGGGACAGACAGGAATAACTCCAGGTTTTCCTCCTGCTGTGAGCTGAAGGGATCATTTCAGACCCAGATTAACCGAATCATGTGACGAAAACGCGTTGCTCGGTTTTTCCCCGGAGTAACTATGACCATATGAGCATGAGTCGGTGCTGAAGGTATGACGCCCTCCTCTCCTCTCCTCTCCTCTCTCGCGCTCCAAATGAGGGAAACGTGCGCGCGCGTCAGGCTCTGGCAGCGCCGCGGACGTGACGCAGGGGAGGAACAGCCGAAATCTCGGTTTCCGCGACGTTTACCACAGTCAATAGTTATGGGTTAAAGGGATGGAGCCGTGAACGCAGCCTATTGAAGAGACGGACCGTGGAGAGGAGGGAGGGCTGTTGGTGGTGAAGGGGGCTGTTGAAGGCAGGGAGTGGAGAGAGAGAGAGAGGAAGAGGAGGAGGAGGAAGAGGAGGACAACAGCCATTACCACCCAGGACCGCCGCTCGCTCTTCCTCTCCAGCCTCGAATAACCGGAGACGTTTGGAAGAAGAGAGGGAGCGGAAAGCGAGTCGGTGGAGGAGGAAACGTCCCTCCATCTTTTCATTCATCCAGAGGAGAGGCAGCGGCGGAGGCAGCCGCGCCGGCCGGCCTCCCTCGCTCTGCGCTCGGACTCCAGCACCGCTGCTGCCCCGGTGAAGGTAAGCGGCTCCGGAGCTTCAGCAAAACCAACATGTTGGCTTTTATTTAGATTTTCTCCTGACCCGTCATTCCATCACATCCAGTTCCGAAAAACTCACCAGTTAGTGCTTTATTGGATCCTGATCAGGCATCAACGTGTTGATCATTGATCACTGACAGTCATTTCATTCGGTTTCTGTCGCTGTTTGCCTGAAAACTGACGATGATCTGAATCTGGAGCTAACCAGGAGGGTTTCTGGGTCGTGAGAAGGCTGGACGGCTTTCTCAGCAGCGTCACTCGCAAATGGATAAATGTAATTAGTTGGTGTTACCCATTCTCGGACAAAGAGCCGGTTCCCTGCTCCCAGACTGCTCGTGCGTGCAGCTCGTGCGTGGACCGGGCGGTTTTGGCTCCATGTCTGCGGTCCATTCATGCACACAGATCCCTGCCCTCCCAGCGGAGCAGGAAGAAGCGGATGAGTACAAAGCAGGTGGACATCAATCACAGCATGACGCGCCTCAGGTGTGAAGGTCCGTATTGATCTGGGCTGATTCTGCAGCCAATTAACACAAACTACGCCCTCCATCATCGGCTCCACCTGCACGGATCTCTGCGGAGCCCCGGCATCAATAAGCCTGTCTGTCTAAACAACCTCTGGTTACCAAAGAGCAGCCGGAGGGGAGAAAAGTCAGGATTCAGACCGATCTCCCCTCCTGCTGCTCCGGAGCAGATGGTCGTCCCCGTCCGGCCTTATGCCGGGCCTTCAGCTGCAGACATGAGCCAAACTGTTCAGAATCCATTAAATCCACCATAAACACCATAAAGTTCTTGCGATTGATCGAATGTAAACACATTGTGTTGAATGAAACCCCTGCAGAGAATAAAGCAGAGGATTGCTGCTGGTTGAATTAGCCAGCAATTGATTGATTCATCAATTCATAATTGATGAATCACTTTAATTGAGTCATCAATTAAAGTGATGAATCTATATAAATGTAACCTGCAATAATTTATTAATGATTAATCGTTAATGAAAGCATACATAAAAAAACAGTTTGCTGGAAAAGACAACATATTCTGAGCAGCAATTAAGCCAAAAAAGCAAAGATTTTAAGATTTAAAACACTCTTAATGCGGCAGACTCCAGGGGTGAAAGGTCACCAGGTCGGATCATGGACGTTTGGCAGAAACAGTGTAACTGTTGCGTCTTTGTAGTGAGAAAACTGGGTCAGAGTTTTATGAGTGATCACATCTGCTGCTCAGATGGAGCTGCTGCTCTGTCTGTGAACTGGAGATCCCATCAGCCGTCGGTTGATCCCGAACAGGAATGCTGCTCTGGACGGTCCGGCTGCTCTGGATGGTCCG